GTTAAAAGACAGAACACATTCAATCAAGGAAGTAAGATGAATCAGGCAATATATTAAGGACCGCAGATGAAAGTAGGAGCAGAAAATAGAGGTAAGAAATATGATTCGATAATGCCAATACACTGCTCAACACTAATAGGATGGAGTACCATATGTGCACAAATTCCAAAACCCAGTCAAAAAAACCACCTTACAAATGCCGAAGTCCGTTTAAAACAAGTGTTATGCGTATTTCAGGTTTACCTACCGGGATTCTTGCGCCAGGCTACCCACAAGTCAAGAAGACTTATGATACCATCTTCTTGACTGAGGTCTCTTTGGTTGAACTGATCGACTGGATAGCTGAGTTTGTCGCCCAGAAACTGAAAAAGAGCATGAAATATTAATTTCTGAAGAAACTACGAGATGGTTTCATTAATAATAGGCAACAATTTGAAACCCAATCTAATTTATCAGAAGTTTCGAGGAATGAATCTGGCGATCCAAAATCCCAGCAATTCCGAAAACAAGGAGCATGATCACGGCTTCGTAGTGAGAATCTGACTCCAAACTTTATGCTCTAGAACCTGGTATAACGTTGATAAAGACGTCAAAATGTAATATTTACGAGATATGAGCGGCCGAAAACTAATTTTTTCTGGCATACAGGAAGGAAGTGGTACTTAGCTGTTCAACAGAGGATCGATATAATGATCCAGTGAATCAATGCCACCATAGATTGGGATTTGGAAAATTTTAAATGTTCTGTAGTACAAAACCGGAAGTTGCATCTAGCCCACTTATAATAAGACTAAATCAAAAGCCTTCGAGAAAGCCTAAAAAGCAGAAATTTGGTAATCAAGATGGAAAGTTTTTCCATAAAACATTTTCCTAGAAGCCAAAGGATCATTAGTGTCCAAGAACGTATCTCTTCCACTACAAAGAGGAAAGTGCTTCACCAATATGAGCAACAATAACACCTTTATGATAACAGGGAAATACACTATTATGCACTACAAATCAAGACCAAGGGAGATAAAAGAAACCTAACTCTCCTTTATTTCATGAGGAAAGCGACACCGAGCAAACAAGTCTCCCTTAGTAATAATGCAATTTGTTTAAAAGTTAAGGATAAATTAACATTGCGTTAAGAATACAAATCTAGCAAAATTTAGTATTTGGAATCACCTTTGATTAAAATATGGAACAGTACAAAAAAGAATGTTTACCATGTAGTGCAGCAACATAAACATATGAAAACAGGAGAACAAAGCAGCATTCCAGGTTAAAAAAAAATAATCATCCGAAGTCTGGAACTAACCATTATTTCAGCTTGAAAGGAAAGGACGTCGTAAGCAGAGGAAGGCTTTTGCTAGTTAAACGTGAAAATGGATTTAACTCACAAGCGAGGCTTCCGATACGTCGATGCCACCACTACTGTCCCCGTCCAATTGACTATGCAAATCGGCAATGGCTTCGAATGCCAAAGTTTTCTTATGACATCGCGAAACATCATTAGCGTTAGCACATACTTCTGAATTGCATGTTTCTGGAAATATTTTTATTAGATTGTGTAACAAACCTATGATGCTTATGAAAATCAGGGTGGCTTGAAAATAAATCAACATGGACTACAGAAATAACGGCATTAGATTTCCAGGAAAAAGAAATAAATGCCCACTAAAATCGACCAATGACAAGCCAGAGCTACTTTCGCCCATTTCATTGATTAAACCCAAGTGCATGTAAACAAAGAAAGGGATTGGTCACAGCATTAGCTTTAATAAGAAGATATTAAATTTGAGCACTTACTTCGCCGAGATCTTGTAAAAAAATTTACGCTAGAAAAGGGTTATTTACTTTCAAGTCTCTCTTACACGCTGTTAGATTGCGTATTTGTAGAATTTTAAAGCAGTCTGAAGCATAGTAGGACGTAGAATTCTGAGAATAGCTGCATGGAAATCTTTATCAAGATTGGTAATTAAACTGCCCTTACATAAACTGTGGAGTCTTAGATACATAAAAGCTTAACAAAGAGTATCTGGCCCTTTCTTAGCATTCAGTCAGATAGATTTAGTCCTAATTTGATGCTTTTTAAATTATTCCTAACTGTGTTATACTTACACCTGCTAATCGGTCATTGTGTTCAATGAATTGACATAGGAAATAGTGCAACCCTTTGAGGCTTTCCTGTAGCACGATAGTGGCCTATCCCTCTGCATTGTTGATGCGCCACTTTTGTACTTTGAATTAGCCCCCTTGTACCTCGCTGGGTGGGCTGGTCTTTTGGGCCATGCCAATAGCCCAGACACCTTCTCTGCGCTGAATACATATTTTGCCCGAGTATTTTGTCTTCTTTCATCTTCAGGGAGTCCCGGAACGCTACATTCCTGAAGGTTGAGACAACAATATTGTCGACGCCCTGTATGCCTGGGGCTACCGGCATGCTGAGGAGGCCAGACCGACCGGTGGAGGTGCAATGCCAGAGCCCCTGATTGGACCGCTACCAAAACCGAGAGTTAAACAAGCATCAGATTATTGCATGGCCATTCCCTTCTTTAGGCGCCGTCCCCATCTCGCCTCCTGGTCGACCTTCTGCGCTAGCCATAACAATGTAGTCGGTGGTGCAAGAGAAGCACTCACGAAATAACCGTAGCAGTTATTCAAATTGCGTGCAAACGAGACGATGTCAGACCGCGAAATCACATCCATTTTGGCAGTTCTGCTAGATTTGGAGATATCACCAATTTGGGACCTGTACTTTGCTAGCCATTAAACTTAGCCACCGCTAGCAGTGGAGGCAGTGATCCGAAAGCGGGGTCCTATAACAAGGGATGGTGTTTAATATTGGTTTCGTAGGCGTGGGGTTTCGCGTCCATTCCCCCTTGCCACCTTGTTCTCACTTCAGTGCTGTCAAGCCCTATCTAGCTGGGTTCCACCCACGATTTACAGCTCCATAACGGATCTTTTCAGACGTTTTACAGCTGACGTCACTGAGGTTGCCAATGGCATTCGTGCAGAACACGGAACTGGAACACTTGTCGAAGGTACACATTGTTTCCTTCCTTTTTTCACGGGTCGTCACATTCTTCCGTTCGCAGCACACACGCCTCTCCTGTCACCCTAAGGCTTTTCACCCAGCAGTAGAGATCAAGATACTTGTTCCTTAGGGTCAAATTTGCCTTCCACTCTCACCAATGTAGCACCTCGAGACCACCCCGGAGACGAGAGAAGACGAGGTACTTGGGCAGAATGTGTTGTCAACGTACAAAAAGGCACGGCTTGGAGGCCAGATCGCCCCGTCACCAAATCCGAGAGGTAAGCAGGCAACAAGCCTATTACAGTTGGACGACAGAACGGGAGTTCGACCCATGCTGACCAAGGTGCCCACTCAGCAAATCAACCATCCGTGATAGCAGATTGTGGTTGCTTCTCACTAAACGATATTGTTAATTTTATTATTTGCCAACTCTAAACATAGGAAATGAAAGCACCAAAAAACGCAACTCACACTACCTACGCCCGTTTGCATAGAGTTCTTACCCTTGATAATAAGCTGAGGTTTTGGTTTCTAATTCATGCATCGAATCGGTGAGCCTCAGAGTCGAGCTACACCATTGACCAGAGCTTCAGTGTTAATGATATTCTAGTAGTCATTTATTGTCATAAAAATCATAAATTCTTCTTATAACAAGTCCTATACCACTTATTCCACACAGCACCAAATATAGTGATGCCTAATGATCATTTAAAAATGCAACAATGTAAGATTAAGTGTAGGATTCATAGTCATGGAGATCCATCCTCCAACTCCATATCAGAATCCGTGATTCCTCGTACATTGATATCTTCATCACCTTCTTTAGAACTTTCACACCGTTTGCGCTTCGGCACCAACTCCGATGTGGCCGTACCTTCTCGACCATCTTCGGGTACATCACCGACAAATTTATCCACCAAAGACTCGTCCCAACTTTCAAGCTTATTTAACATCTTGGCAATGTACGGTTGTCGGTATCGCTTGTGTATGACAGCGCGTTGAAAGTTCAGCTGTTTGAAGGCTTCTACAGGACACAGAGGTTGTAAAGCATAATACTGACGATCAAGGGTGCAGTCACACTACCAGTAACATAAAAATCACTAACCCTGATGAGCTTCCAATGCGTTTTTGGCGGCATCCATCTCTGCACTCTGTACCGACCGTCCAATGCCCACAGCGAGGAGAACGTTCCTGAAGTAAACACCCACCTTGTGTTCACGATCATTTGATGGTCCTGCGTACTCCAAAACCTACAAGAACGAACACCAGATTCTGCACTAAACTTAACATAACTTGTAGCCTATGTGAAGCGGTCCCGAGACATTACCTTGTAGTGGGCCAATTCAGGATCCTCATTAAGCGAGCGGAAGGTAAGGCAGCACTGCTGCAATTTTGATTTCGGATCATTCCACTCCTGCTTGAGAATGAACTCCACAAGCCGGGGCCAAAAACAGACTTGACAGAAGCGCTCGACCCAGGTTATATCCTTATCCACGTACAAAGCACCAATAAAAGCTAATATGCATTTCAGAAAATGAAAAATTAATTCTCTATCCACAAAAGTGTAGATTGGATATGAAATGTTATGAACGAACCCTCCAGTAGGTCAGCCTTATTCTTCACATTCTGCTGTCTGCGAGTAGCAGAAGCTGTCGCTTCCTCCGGGATGCTCGAAATAGTGAGAGAATTCTCCTCTCTGCGAATAATGAACTGGTCTAGACCGAGTTCACTGCAAACCGTTGCCTGAGTGTACTTGTTCACCAATGAGTTCTTCAGCAACGACAGGTGACCCTCATGGTGTCGCGGAAAATGCCGATAGAGGTAATCGGTGGTGACGTACTTCAGTAGGGAATCTCCGAGGAATTCAAGACGCTGGTTATCACCTCTGCAAAATCCAAAATAAGTCAGATAAGCACGAACACAACTTAATATTAAATAATTAATATACCAATGTGACCTTAAAACACGGCGCGTGAGAACATTTCAAGCACAAGTTGTGAGAGTATGGATATACGAAGTTAGAAGAACAGCATAACCTCAAAACTGCCGAATCAAGCTCAAATGAAAACAAAGAAAACTGAACAACTAAATTACTAAACGAAACTTACAGAGTGTATATATTATATCCGGTTTTACGTACAGTCAGAGCACGGGCGAGGACGCGTAAATGCTTAAAATGGATGCCCAAACGTTCTTCCAGATCAACTAATTTCTAAGTGAAGAAAAATTAAAATAACGAAACCCCAGACAAAAACGAAGTGCCACGAAAAGAGACATTAAAAAGTAAAACCACTGAATTTTTGAGTCACTGACAAGATAAAACCTGCGTACAGCGTATGAGGAACAAGAAAGAAATGAAAGCATGAGTTGATCAAGCCCAACAGATGTTACCCAGCGATGCATCTGCACAAACGCGTCTGCATCATGTGCAATCTGAAGGGCAAACGTTCATGAAGTTTTCAAAACTGAACATTTGTGCATGCTTATGTGTGGAATAAAAAGAAAGGAGGGGGAACCAGTGCAGTTCAACAAACTGGCGTCTAACTTTGAGACGTGGCCGGTTAAACGTCAGAAAGCTGACAGCAGATGCCCCGTGTGTGAAAGCAATGAGAGGAAACGATAACTTACCACAAATTCACCCACTCATTTAATAACAGTATTGCAAGTTTTAATTGAACGAAAACCACGCTTGACTAAAATTTAGCGAGTAGCGCGCGTAAAATATTTGTTAATAATAACCGCGCGACGGCAAAAGCCTCAATCTTTCATTAACAATGCCAATTTATCTAATAAAGCTACATCGAAAGCAACCAATTAAGCTGCTAGTATGCGTATGCAGAATGAAATGGACTAAGTGAAAAATATTGCGATTTGTACACCTAAGAAACAACGAGTTCGTCCTCTTCATAAGGGAAACGCAAACTAACTTTGAACATAGGCACCTTGAGAACCCACTCTCTGTCACCATCAGGATATTCCGCTTGCAGAGGATGTGGCGGAATCTGAACCCAGACCCGATGGATGCGTTCACAATCGCCAAAGAGAACAGCACCGAATATACGATCTACAGCCTCTAGACCGCCATCGAGAGCGAGAGCCGCTAAAGAGGAGGGGGGGGGGGAAGAAATAAAAATACGAGGGACTAAATGCTGAAACAGGAGGGGCTAGATAATTAGAAGAGAGAACAGGAGTTTACCCATTACGGCCTCAAAAGCGTCAGAACGGGCGTAAACGTAGGTCGAATCGTGACAGAAATCGACACTATGAGTGTATAAGAGGTGCTTGTGCAGTCCAAGACGCTAGAATAAAAAGATTTAAAAGGAAGCATGATTCTAGGAGGCAGTGCTGTCGGCAATTTGGTCAGACCGGTACAAACATTCATCAGACAATGAAACTAATATCCAAAATGCTCATGTATTCTAAAGTCTACAAAATGAGAAACATGTTTAACCAAGCTCTAAGTATTCGTGTTAAGAAGTATAGCTGAACACTTTTCTGCTTGGAAATGGTTTATGCAAGTGATACGACGCCTATGAAGAATGGAACACTTTTATATTATTACTTGAGTGGGAAAGCAGTTATGTAACCAACAATAATTTGTGTCCGAAAAGGAAGAAGACCTAAAGTTTAGCTGATTCGTGGCAATCTCAAGCCAATCATACACACATGTTCCTGGTTGTCGAGATAAAAAGGATAAACTTGCCAATGCCAGGTCAGCCAGATGTTGATTTTGTACCAAGGCCTGACGATATGCATCCAGGTTGCCTTCAGGCAGATCAGGAAACATGAAAAAAAGGTGGATACTGGAAAAAGAGAACAAGTGACAGTTATGACAGCAATCGAAAGGTGCATTGAAATCTGAAACAAAAGGGACCCCTGCTGATCGTTCAATTGATGTACCAAACTATTACAGAAATGGATGAAGATAATAGGAGACCTCATTGGATAACAAAAATCCTACATCTTTATAAGGAAACATAAGCTAGGTTAAAATCGTGTTTATTGAGTAATTACCCCACAAATTCACTTACCTAGCGATGATTTCGATAGCAGCGTCACCTAAAAACTCTAAACGCTCGTTTCCATAAATTTTTGATCGCTCTTCGTGTTGCTTTGGCATGAAAGACATCACCTGGATCATTTTGGAGAGACCCTTCTTGCGCCATTTCTTATATAACTGCAATTTGTCTCCATACTTAATAGTGCGAAGACCACAGCTAGTTAAAGTGTTCTGGAAATGATCCTGGTTGGTGCCAAAATCGGTTCTGCGGTAGGACGGGTGGGTTAGGGCTTGCTATCGGTATGTTGTTAAAGAAACAAAAAAAAACGACGGTAACGCGTCAGACAAATGGTAAGAAAATGACAGCAGAAAGATACATGAAGGATAGACTTGTCCTTGAATTGATAATTCAGGCGCGCCTCCAACGACTTGAGTGACATGATGCATCGAACGTGAGTTACAAAGGAGGCCATGTTGAGGGCAAATTGGGCCACATCGGGACGAATTCCTGTTCTGTAGAAGCCCTCGCTGCTTAGTTCTACGGTTATCTCACGGCGATGTACTCTGTGGGAAAAGGACCGTAGAATACCAATGGTTTTCTATGTAGCATTCGACCAACAAATGCACAACTCACCCAGAATGGTCCATAGAATCGAGCTTATTAGTCAATTCCGCAAGTTGATTCCGATCTTCAGCCGATATACGAGGTTTATTGACTATGAGGTATAGTAATTTAAGGTAGTTTTTAAGCACCGATTTGTACTGTGGGTCACGGGAAAGGCTTAGTTTCATCGGGGTAAACGTCATATGTACAAGCATAGGAAAAGTAGGCAGTCGGGCTGCACAAGAAGACGACATCGAGGACGAAGAGGTCGAAGAATATGACGATAGGCGGTCAAGTTGATCGATTCGAACTGCAGGAGGTTTCTGGAAAAAAACGGAAGTTAAGCAAAGGATTATCCCAGCAGCGCCGGATCTTAGGAGCACCTTTATTCTGTTCAAGCGGTGGCGCCGCGAGTAACGATGATCGAGAATGTTTCATAGGAAAAAAACTCCAAATCTAGCAAGGCACTCAAGAGCACCGAAAGCAGACCAGTCGAACCGCAACCATTCGGGATGTCATTAATGTCATTCCTACTCCTGATAAATGTTCGTCGTCTTAAAGAGGTCAAAATCACAAAAGGCACATTTTTGATGCGGTAAAATGATGCTTAGTTTACATGAACAATTTAGCACAGTAAAATTATGAAAATGATAGGAATTTCTGACTTTGGTCTTCTAAACTACACTAATATTGCGAATAAAATCTGACAGAAGTACGATTCAAAAAATTATTTAAACCGGTATCAGAAATGGTTATGAATAGGAGAAATTACGTCCCATTAGCCTCATGTTAAGCAATCAAAAAGAAAACAATGACAAGATATCATTAGTGTCACTTCATTGAATTTGGTTAACGTACTATTTGATCATAGTCTACAGCTTCTCTCTCCCCATAAGCTGCATTCTTTGTTTGTGCTTCTGTTCCTGCTTATTACTAGGATATTATAAGACAAAATTCGATAATTCTTCCAGAAATTCACGTGTCAAAATTGTAAGAACGCTATAGAAAGACTTAAAATGAACGAGAGAAGACTTATTCCAATGGCGCTCATGTACTCACTACTGATACGTGACGTTTAACACATCAATTCGACCTTAAGGAAAAGTGAACCACCACAGAGCAGAGGTTGTATTGTGTTATTCATTTCAGCACTTTCAACTCAATCATTTCCTTTATAACACGATTCAGTGCAACCAGGAGTTATCAGAAACAGATAAAGAGCATATGTCACAAGTTTGTGTCATCGACTTGAAAAAAGAAAAGTTGAGTGAGCTTGGTAGCGAACTCTGTTTAGTTAACTACCCTCGCTCTGTTCATGCCACCATAACGCTTCCCCGTGTTTATAACAAGGTTATTTCAAGACTAGCATGCCTTGTCAAGTCTTCAGACACCAAAAAAGATAACACTATATGAGCTCACAGCTCCGGGCTTCCATGCGAGTGTGCCCCTGAGGTCATCAATGTGTGCAGACCATTCGGAATTCGGCATACGTCTGATTGTCGGTAAGTCGCTGGCTGGTATGAGGGGTAGTTGGGTCTGACGCATCCAGTAATCGAGAATGGCATCAGCGGAGAGTAACTCTCCCGAGTTCTCCAATCGCCGTACGAATCGTGGCAGAAGATGCACCACTGGACATCCTGTGTCAACACCATGGGGTCGCCAGTTGAGGTCCAATAACTCCAGCAACTCCTTAAATACGTACTCTGTAAGCATATCCAACGCACGCACGGTGAAATTCTAGTGGGCGTAACAAATAGGTAAGCTCTTAGACGTGTTTAAATAAAATTAATCACTATAAAACTCCAAACGCACCTCAGGAAATTCTTCATTAAAATGAACGAACTCGTAGAGCAAGTTGAAACGCAGAAGCTGACAGGGAGGTAGCTGGAAATGGCCATGCTTTTAGACTATCGATGAATGTTAGGGACGGAAATAGACAGCCAATCACTCACATTATCAATGGGGGAGTGAAGAAAAATGGAGTAGCCGTCAAAGAGGTAGTCGTTGCCGTTGAAAGGAATGACTGAGGGTTTATTATCGAAAAAGTTAGTAGTCGGGGTGACCATTACACGATAGTGGTATAAGCGATCCCGGTTGTTTGACTCCAATTGACATCTTGGTACTTCCTGAGACCAACAGATCAGCGCGGTGATAGCAAAAAATAGGCTTGAACATTTGACATAAAGTAAGATATGACTGATGCGCACCGTTTCACCTTCAAACTGATTATGCAGAGGTCCGATCCGGTACTTGGATTTGCACGAACATGCTGGCCCACTGTTATGCTCGCCGGGTTCATTATGCCAAATGCTAGGATGCAGGCGATGCGGATGGGCAAGTTTATGTGAAATCTCGACCCTTTGTTGCCCTAATTTGTCATCAAGAGAATGGGGCTGGAGAACCTCTGATTGATGAGCTGAGCTCATATTGCCCGATATCACATTTAGCAGGTGGTCTGGTGTTACACTACCAAGCTACAAATGAACCAGGATAGATGAGAATGAGAGGTCGAAAACTAGGAGAATGAGTTACACAACACTAATCACCTCTATGGAAGGTTCTGAAGAGATGCCAGACTTTTTAGTATTCGGGCGCTTACGCCCATTCTTCGACAACACGGGAAAATGATTGCCATGGTCGATATCAACACTTCCCAACCTTTTCAAAGGTGGACGCACCGTATTCACAGGTGGGAATCCGGCCAGTGCTTTCTCCCGTCGTTTTAATACGTAATTTTCGAAGTCATTTTCTAATTCAATCATACGCTGCGTAGCAAATTTACAGACTCCTATTGTCTAAATTGGAAAGTGAATTAGAAGCACATAAAACCTCGAAAAATTCAGTGGCAGGCGTACACCAAACATTCGGAAAAACAACTCCTCCACGCCAGGAATTGTCAACGTCGCGAGAACTATGAAGATAAAAAAAATTAACAAAACTATTACCATGATGAAGGGCACGGTACAAATTTGGCCTTTAACAGCCTACTGAAAAGATTCAAAGAAAACACTATTGTTGACAGAGTAGAATAAAGTCCATAAGTACGTCGACAAAACGAAGAATGAACAATAAAATAATTCTAGAAATTGGATGCTATGAAAGCATGCAATTCATGGGTATCGAAACGGTCAAATTAAACGCAAACCAATGCGAACTTTAAAACAAACCAAGAAGGCTTCGTTTGTCTGGAAGGAGTGAGAGCCGTGGGATTCAAAGCTAGCTGATTCGGAGGTGCTGATGGAGGCGGCGGAGGAGGCGCAAAAAGTGGGACATTCGGTGGCGGTGGTGGGTATTGAAAGCACAGAGGCGGAGGGCAGAAATCAAGCAAAAATGAAGAGGATGTCGAGAAAGACAAAGGAGATAGAGGAATAAGAGGGATTAAGGACTGGAATTGGAATCCTGGAGGAAGGGGAGAAGGCAGAGCCCACGTTGGAAGTGAGGTGCTGGGAGGTGTTGGTAGCAAAGGTTCCTGAGTCTTTGCTGAGTCATTTGACGAAGAGAGCACATACACAGAAGCGCCGTCTGGAAGATTGGCAAGTTCTCTCTCGTTAATATAAATCACCTTCTTTTGTGGCGGATCCTACAAACACATAGAAGCAGTCAATCAACTAAACATCATAGTGCGCAAGCCAACTGACTACCTAATCGATTCAAAAGAGCGTGTTTCGAGAGCCTTACCATAAAGTTGTCATTAGGGAATATCTGTAAATCAAATCGGGCCAATAAGGCTAAGGTAGAGGGCGTATGACGTCCATTCAAAAGTGCACCGCATTTATAAACAACAAACCTTTGAATGTTTATAAGAGTTGACCTTTAAATGTACATGTAAAAATTTAGCATGCAAGGAAATTATTGTTTTACAAATATGTTGAAAAATACAACAAAACAACGTACATAAATAAACTTAAATTTGTTTTAAAATTAGATTATAAAACTTCACTGCAAAGTTTAAGGCGCTTTAAAAAGCCTTTCAAAAAATGAAGTGATGTGAGAAATGATGTAGATATTGACGATGGTTATCACTTCAGTGCCATTCGTCAATAGTTTTATTTATAAGATCCGCGCGACTAATTGAACTTTCGTGATCCGATCTTCGTGTTGGGCGTGTTCTCGTTAAGGCATGGCGAATCACTTTGCTACGCCATCGTTGAGGTCGATTTTGTGTGATCCGTATTCAAACAGCAATGTGGAGAACGTACTGGATGTTGTTGCTGCCCTTGTCTGGGATTGCAATTTTCAATCAGCCAAAAATTCCAGGGCTATACAATCATTTGTCCAAAGGTTTGTTAATGCCATTGGGTTGAACTTGACAACCCATGTTTGTAATGTAACTTATTCCATTCTGCCAATGCATCATTTTATCCTTTAGTCTAGTTTCTTCTTTGTTATTGGGGATTATTTACCTTCCGCTGTAAAATTTGCACTTTTGTGAGAACATATTGTTTCTCATTTGATTCCATACGATTGGAATAAATATGAGTGTCGTGAGATAGTTTATGTTTTAATCGCTTGCATTCCCTTTGATTTGTTGTTTATAACACTTTTATAACCGCTCTTGTGTTCATAGTTTGCTTTGTTTAAGATTTTGCTATTGAACGATGTATTTTGATTACGGTTTTGTGCATGAGGTGGCTATATATTAGTTGCATTAGTGCCACTCTTCCTCGTTTACGTTTGTTTTGGCCCCTTATTTCCACCCAAACGTGAACTGCCTTTCCTGTTTCTATAAGGACACGGTGGTGAAATCGGCTCATATTAGCGGACACAACAAATTGGTGATCCCAATGTCATGTTCTCAGGTTGATTCGGCGTCTCTTTTTCAAGATTTTCAGAATTAGCAAACTTTATATGCTCCCAGCGGACGAAATTCACTGACTTCGAACTGGTCAAAGTCATCGGTCAAGGGGGCTTTGGTCGTGTTCAGCTCGTTCGACACAAGGCCACTCGTCGAGTCTATGCAATGAAGACGATGAGCAAGCAGCACCTTCTCGATCACTCGCAATCTGGCTACTGGGAGGAACGCGACATCATGGTAAAGGCGACCAGTGAGTGGCTCGTCACTTGTCATCAGGCTTTTGTGGTACGTTCATATTACCTCAATCATGTATGCAATCGATTGCTTCATTAAACAAAACATGGACCACATGAATGATACTGCATCTGTGTCTTTCGTTCTTTAGATTTGAAATATTTAACCCAATGTATATATGTATGTTTTGCTAATTGAAAAAAGGGCTTCATTGCATGTGTTTTTACTTGCGTATTTCGTATCTTTTAGTGCGTTTTAAATAGCCGTTTCAACCGTTTCTATTTTCGCAGCTAGATATACAGTTGAACTTCAACTGTGACCTTGTTGACGTAAGACTTTTGCTGACAGTTTTATGCTGCACTGCTATTAATGCATTCTTGGCGTGCACCCGATGCCTTTCCCGTACAATGGTAGTATTTCAGTGGGTGTGTTCATGCGTTCAGTGTGAAACTTGTCCCAGAATGCAAATCCTGCCTTGGTTGTTTTGTTTGTTAAATTGGTAATTACGCTTGTCAAATCTTCCATAGCTCACAATGATTAGCGAATGGTTACGTAGGATGCAGATTTCGGTCAAAGTCAAAGTCACCTCTCAACGCATTCCTCACTCTTGATAATTTGGTTTTACTGCTGCCCTTGAGCCGCGGTGCTCATGTGTAATCAGGATCTCAGTAAAAGGACTTATGGGGGCGTGGGTGTATTATAGCAAAAGTCAAAGCTTCAGAATAAACGCCTTCTTTACTGTGAGTACACATTTACACTCATGTTCATGTGTTTAATTTCACTTCTGTGGGGTGGCTTCTCCCCTTTAAGTTCAAAGGCGAAAAACGTTTTATTGCGTGCAATTATGCAACTTCAAAAAGACATTTTAATTATGATGCCACTTTTCTCTTCCAATCATGGTCTTTTCCATATATTCATAAGCTACTGTGGTATGCGCATAATATTTAAAACTGTTAAAATAACAAAGGACGGGCTCTGGTTTATCTCAATTGCTCATGACGCTGTGAAGAGATGAGGAGGAAATGACATCTACTTACCAGAATCGGTACATTAGCTGCATGTCATAGGTTAGGCCCTTAAAAAAGCTTCACGATTGTTTGAGAACCTTATGTGCGCTCTTCGAGACCAGTAAGCAGCTGCAACATTCGTAAGACTTACTTTCGCGCCGTTCATGTAGAAATGGACGTTGATTGGTTGATATGCTGGCTCGTTTCCCATTCGTTGCGCAAAACCACTTTGACATTTCTTTTTGGCATTGTTCCCTTCCTCTCTATTGGTTCCCCTTCGTCCAACATTGAATTTAATTGGACACATAGATTTTGCTGTTTAATAAACATTTTATGGGGTCAGCCGCTATCAAATCAAATCATAAGCAAGGGAAGTGAGTTTGGTGAAATCTGCACATCCGAATGTACTTGGTTTAGAAAATGAGTGGGTGGGCGAGAGTTTGTGAAATTACGATTGAACAACTCCGTCTTTTGACCATCAAACTACTCACGAGCTCACTTGAGCCTGCAAATCATTGGCATATTCATATACTTATATAGGCGCACGCATTAATGCCCAGTTCAACCTCTTTTGTACAAAACTTTGGAGTCACCACCATCGCTTACGCATTATCACCGTTAAAACCCATTTCTGGAGTGTATAGCATGTAAATCTCAGAGGAATACTGCTATCTAGGTTATTGTACTTGTTGAACTTATTCTCATGCACAACATGATTCTGCAAGTACATCGCACTGCTTCGTAGTGGATCGTTTTGCTCCATGTGCTTGGGCGCGATGTTACCCAATGTGGGTAATTCTGGAAGCGCTTGCTTCCATTGTTATCCGTTTTCACGACAGTGTAGCAGTTAAAATGGGTGATAATACTTGATTTTTGCTGTACAACATACTGGCAATTCTCGAGTGATTATCCCTTTTGCCCCTCGTAAATTTCGATTGACTTTTCATTCCTAAATTGCAAGATTGTAGCCATACTTTAATCATCGCGCATCAGTTTGTTTATCTTACTGTGCAGACTGGTAACTATGCCTTCTGTGTGAAGGATTTTGGTATGTTTTGACTCTGCCTCTCTCCCGCTCTCCACTTGCTGTACATGTCCGCATGTAAAGTGGGCTGACAACGGAGGACGATTAGTCTTATATGACGGCGATCGTTGGCTTGGCGTGAGAAGGCGAGGAACGAGTGAAACACCAGAAGCTCCATACTCTCTTGCATTCGATCATAATCTAATTTTAATCGCTGGCCTTTTCGGTTACCTCAAGCTTGACTGCCAGTAACTGAGATACAACTTTTACCCCAAATCGAAGTTTTCTGGAATTGTGGGATTCCTTCTGTATGCCTATGGGTACTTGCAGTGGCAAATGTGCACTGTGTAGTGGTAGCGTTACGTTTCTTTCTCATTGTGCAAGATGAGAGTGGGAATGCCTGTGCGACTTTCAATCTTTATGTGAAAATTGGGCCTACTCAAAGGTGATTTGGTTTAAATCCCCAAACTCACTATTGACATTTGTGCACCAAGTTTGGGTGACTGAGAGACTCTCTGAGTGAAGATGCTAGTAGATGAATGCTTCTTTTGTACCGGTACAGCATCAAGGGGCAGTCCCTCTAGTTAAATTTGAAGGTGGTTTAGTCATTTGACTAGCAAAACCAACGTAGCTTTCATTATAGTTTTTATTCTAAGGGAGACTGCGACACCTGTTCTTGTTGTTGCAGGCGATGGAGATGGAAGTGACGCATCATTTGTAAACAGAAGCCTAAATGTGACACATCTCCACCTTATCACTACAAGAGAAGTTTTGATCCGACTAAGATTCTTTTCTGAATTCGGCGTCACAAATATGTGGCATGATAAGTTGCTGTTGCAAATAGATTATTGGGAAATGTAATAATAAAATATTACTGCTAATTGTTGTTACTTTAAACCGGTCAGGAAAGGCTTTGGTAATGAATGTGTTGCTTTTTTTAAAAAACTTCTTTTCAGTGTGATTTGGACACTGTCAAAGAGATCCTGAAATTTACTTTGATGAATTTGAAATTCGCATCAGTTTTGCTTCGGTATTTAACTCAGTAAGGATAATTTGAGTTTTACAAAACAATCCTGCTTTCCGACTCATCACCACACTGGTGGCTCAGTTATTTAACTCCTGCTAGCATACCTTCGAACTAGTGGCTGTGAAAGCGGTTCATTGTCTCCCCCACCCTCCTCTTTCTTCTTCTTTCCCACCCCTTATGCAACCTAATTCCCATTGTCTGTTTTCAAGACGAATTGGACCAAAAGTACCACCTCTCTTGGAGTCTTAGAAACGATTACTTTAAACTTGGTGCCATTTTGTACATTTTTGTATCGTCATTCGCTTTTGATTGACCACAAATAATAATCCACGTCACTTTAATTGTTCTTAATTTTACTGCAAGGGTTTAATTGTGAGCCTCACTTTTCTTGATATCTTTTGACTGATGATATATATATACTGTGCTGATAAGATTACCTGTCCTTACAGCATTAACAACAGTAGGGCAAACATTTTTCACGTGAGGCTTGCGCACGCATAGGCGCGTTCCAGCAAGGCTTTAGCAGTGTCTCATTCTCCGCAGTTGCGCACTGTGTTTACAGGTTATATTTTCTAATGCACACACACACACACACGCACACACACATGCATTCATCGTCCTACGTGTGTAAAATGTCGATTCGCCTCCACCAGGCCAGATTTAGAACTGATGTAGAAGGCAAAAGTAGACGATGCATGCATTTTTTATGATTCCCTCCTATGAGTGTAATTACTAAATAGTCAATTTATCCTGCTCCCTCTCTTTCTCTAAATATATCCGTTGTACAATCTGCAGTCTTTATTAAATGACCACAAACTGCATGGAAGGCATAATTAATTTTGGTTGTGTTAATTTAAAACAGGGATTTGTTTCAAGTAAGAACACAAGCAGACTAGGTATTTCCCTTTTCCTGCTTTTAATGGCCATAGTTATGTTAGAATCTGAACGTTTGTATGATTTGAAAGAAAACGAAGCACTTTCTTTGTTATCTTGTTTATCCCTTTTTCTCAATGCAATGGGCTCTGAGTAGATTGAATTTGCTATTCCATTTCTATTTCATCTTCTATGCGGGCTTTTGCACTGCTCTTGCCTTGCATAATTTTGGTACAAGTGTACGAGCCTTTTGGCTCTTGCTCTGTGCAAATATCTGACTTGTTTTTGCCTACAAAACAGGCCTCCTTCGCAAATGTCACTGATTAGAAGTATTTTGACGACAAGGAAGCTCTCTTTGGACAAATGTAGTGTAGAAAACGCCATCTCTTCTCTTTTCATACCCACCCACCTCAAAAGAAATTTTTCCGCAATTTAGACTAAATAAATTACTAATTAAATTGGTGTGCTTACTTCCTGGGTTAGTGCAAGTCATTCTCACTGCTTTTTGTTCCGAGGTTTATGTTTCAAAAAACTTATTTCGTGTCTGCTTAAGTGGAAGAGGTGCTTTTTTTTCGCAAATGAACAAAAGGCTTGTGGGCATGGGCGAGAGACAAATGACGGCGGTGGGCTCGACTACGACAGCGCCTGTCGGTTCGGCTTCTGCTATGAGTACAGGGGAGACTCTCCGGGCTCTGACATCCACTTTTTTTCTCATAGCTCCGTTATAGGGCAGTGACGCAAGAGACCCATACATGATTAAGTGTGGTTCAGTTTTATTACTGTAGTAAAAATAATCTATGATTTTCATCCTCTCACCTTCTGTTACGATTCTAACCAATTTGGCCTGAATTTTCGGCGTTAATTTTCGTGCATTCTTTGTTATTGGTGGTGCCTTTTGCTTTCCTGAGTTCAACGGAGGTAATTCGGTTGAATATTTTTCCTTCAATTCTTACCCATGGCAGTTGTCCCTTCTCTATTGTTCCTTTGGTGGTTCTATTTTCTTTTTAAAAATACACTTCTATGACACTGAATAGTTTTTGGAGTTTCGTTTAGCTTTCGCTTTTTGCTGCAAAATGTCATCCACTTGGCGTTTGCAGTCAGGCATTTACTAAAAAGGTCAGCATTTCATTCACAGATGATAATACGAAAGAAGGAATCTTTATATCCATTATTAAGACAATTATTGGGGCCCTTCAAATTCATAAACAATATCTTAACTTTTATTTAACCGCCCAGGTTATAAATATTATTTTCTTATAGTTTGTTTTTAACTTCCAATTTATTACATTGCCTGAGGTTGCTGGAGAGGGGGAACTACAACATAATTGCCCTTTTGCTTGTTTCTTCAGTTTAAAAATGGTTTGAATAGTCAAATGGTTTTTTTTGCTTAATAACTACTGCAATAAAGTAGACCATGCATTATTTTAGCTGAACTCGGTATGTTTTGGGTCGATTTAGTCACAACTTACTGCGTGTACTTGTTTCCAGGGTAATTTAGTCAATTTTATTTCCCTTAAAGCTTTTTTAAAAAGTAATGTTTTTGATAATGATACGGTCTAGTTTAATTTGACTTTGAGTGCAACAAACGCGTATTCTTAGCAAGTACTATGCTGCTAAGCTAGATTCTTGGAGTGTAGCGTCAAGTCCTTGTAATTACCGTTGTTATGTATCAATTGCAATTCTCAAGTTTCAGGTCCATGCTTATAAAGCCATTTTAACCTTTTATTGTCCTATTAATTTTCAGATTTATTATCTTCTTATTTTTTGCTACACCATGCATAGGTTTTTACTTATCTTTCTGCACCTCATTGATACGGTAGATATGAGAACCACCCCTGTTAAACCCGAGACCTTGTTTTCAAGACTGACCCACTTCTGTTAACCCCTTTTTGTGTGATCTCAGTATTGCCATGCACCAGCAATACCAAATGGTGACATTATCTGTGCGCTCGGTTGTACAGTTAAAACCTACCGTTAAATTTCTTTCCTTTGCTTTTTTTGGTTCCTATTGTCTTAGACGTTTGGAAACCCACTGATTTGTCCAAAACAACTGACAGCAAGCCTGTCCCTCTCTCCTTCATAGATAAACCTTTTTGATGTTTGAATCTGCTTGTGGTAGCCTATATACATCCTTCACGGGTTGACAAATGACCAATGTTGGGAACAACATTTGAAAGCGTGCCTCGTGCTGCTAATCGCCTTAATCAGAATTGCAAACAAGTTTAAAGTTGTACATCCTGTTTTGTTTTCTTTTTTTCTCAAGTATTAGCATATTTCTTGTAAGGAGAAAATGCATTTCCAATTTTTCCCCCTCTTTTCTCTGTGTCAAATGTGTGAGAATTTTACGAAATCAAGTCCTTGAAATGACAGCTCGACTTTCTTCTATTACTTAACCCTTGTCAAGTTCGATGACGGATGCGTATTCTTTTGTCAGTCGATCTAGCTTCTCCCCTTTCTGCCATCATAGACGCGCTACTTGCATGCATTCTTAGAGTATTTTAACTCCGTGGTAATAAGGTATCAAAATTCCTTCCCTAGCTCTATTGAAGTTGAGTTAGGCATTTCGACCTTCAAAGACTCTATAAGACTTGGATCACAGAATCCTGGGAATCACTCATTCGCTTTTCTTCTGCACCAGTCGGACTCGGAGTGATCTAGAGGCGATGGCTGTATGTAAAAACTTAGCGCTCGTGATGAATCATTCGCTTCAGTGATTTTCGGAGTAATTGTCACGTATTGTTGAGCAGAGATAGTTCAGCCGAAAGACTAGCCGGTGTGAGAGTGTTGAAGTTAGATGGACTTATTATCTAGTTTTTGCTGAGGCATCTTTTTTTGAATCGCATTTCCGCTAATCATTTTCTAAGTCATGCTATCACGGATTACCGTCTATGCAAGTAATTAACCTACGCTAAATAAGCCTAATCATCACGTGGAACTTTTTTATAAAAATGTCAACTTGTCACCAAGACCACACGTTAGTGTTGTCAGTGTTATCACATTTGAGCTTTTGATGTTGTTTTCGGTAACTGCTTCGTAGAGAAAGGCCTAGTGAAATTTACATTTTCCTGTAAATCAGCAGCGGCTGCTCTCAGCGTTCTTGAATTGGCAACAGCGCTTATGTGTTTGTCTTGGAATCAGTGCTTTGTTAGGATGGGGTAAAGCAATGGTTGCATATCCCGATAGACCATCTTTTTACCCCTATACGTGAATATCTTAGTACTCGTCCTAAAGATCGAGAACTGAAAGAAAACGATCATTTTTTATTGTTTTTGCACAAAAATTTGTGTTGGTAATGTACATAGAGCCTCTCCTTGTGCGTTTGTGCGTAATATCCTCCGCACACAGGTTCCTGGCCCCATAGCCACACAGAATATTGACGAAAAGAGAAATACCACTAGAGCAACACACAATCGGTCTTTTCTACGGCTTGAACGCTTTTATTGCTGTGGTAATAGACCTTTTGATACTCTGTGGGTTTCTTTTTGAAGCAGCCTCAACACCGGTTTCGGTGTGATATTTGGATGTCCCTTGGTTTATCTTGTGCGTTAACTTCAACCGTGTATTTGTGAACCAGACAAATTGATGATCCACCCACTTTACTCGCCATTCTCACATGTCATAAAGGGAATGGATTTTCTCTACTGTGATTTGAAAATCTGATAAATCCAATTGTCATGACTTTCAAATTAAATGTAATGTGCCATGTAAACGATCCTTATTGTTTTATTCAAGCCTTTTTCCAGTTTACCCTTTGTTTCGCAAAAGAAAGAATGTTGGATACATGGCCAATGTTATTTCAATGCCTACTTAACTGTCTTGTTCGTGCACATTGGTTTCGCGTTTCTTGTTCTGTGTTGCGCTTGTGTGTGTGTATGTGCACATATGCAAATGCTAGCTTAGGTAGCAATTCATCCAACGTTATTGAAATTGTTCATCCTTTGTGTTAATGTATCAGAATGCTTAAACAGCTCAAGTCATAAGTAGCTAATATTTACATATTTTCATTTAAACATTATACTGAAGCGCCTGAGACTGCAGTAGTAATAGTTTGAGCCTTTCTTTGGAGCACTAGTAGTGTCGCGTGTTGAGAAGTTTACATGACCAGTGAAGTTATTTGTCCGTTATTTCTTAGTTGATCAGAATTATGTCTATTCTAATCCTGTACACCCATGTAGGACAAGGAGAATATCTACTTATGCATGGAATATATGCCCGGGGGTGACCTTTATTACTGGCTGGAGTACTACGACACCTTCACAGAAGAACAGGCTCGGTTCTACCTTGCAGAGATTGTACTAGCTCTGGAAGCACTTCATGACCTCGGCTATATCCATCGTGATCTCAAACCGGACAACATGCTGTTGGACGCCCAAGGTCACCTCAAGCTTGCCGATTTCGGCTCCTGTGTCCGACTTGACTCTCAGGGTCGCTACTTCTGCTCCTCACCCATCGGTACTCCTGACTATATCAGCCCTGAGATGCTCAACTGTCAGTCCAAAGCGGGTTATATTGGACCAGCTTGTGATTGGTGGGCTCTTGGTGTGATTGCCTTCGAGATGCTCTTCGGTGAGACCGCCTTTTACGGGCAGTCTCTGGTGGAGACATACTCACGCATCCTCGGCTACGAAAAGTCCCTCAAGATTCCCACCGACACTGAGATTACGGCGAATTTCGAGAGTCTCATTCGGGACTTCCTTCGAGGAGCAGACGATCGATTAGGCTCTAATGGGGGCGCTAATGAGGTGAAGCAACACCCCTTTTTTGAAAGCATTGATTGGCTGAATTTGCACTCGATCGCACCACCTATCAAACCAGTTGTCACCTCCGATGTGGATACATCAAACATCAATTTCGATGAGTCGGAGATTCTCGGTGCGGATGCGAAATTTTGTGGCGACTCGTCGAACTCCTCGAGCGGTTCACCAGCAAACTTGCCACGCACTCCCGGCGCCTTTGCAGCAAAAAAATCGGTTGGACCGCCAGCCTACTTTACTGGGGATAATTTAGCGTTCGCTGGCTTCACGTTTAACCGCGAAGAGAGGCAGAGACTCGAATCCTCGACCAAGGTTGCCATGGTCGCCAATGGGGATGCGAATACTGCCGAGATGAAGGCTTCACTCGCGGAGGTTCGTGCTCAGCTCAGTACGGCCGAGAAACAGGCAGCTATGGACAAGATTGCCGTGAATGAAGCACAAAGACGTCTAGATGATACGAAAGCTGAGTTGCAGACTGCGAGGGCCGAACTTGAGCGAATGGGTGAAGAGACAAGAACGCAAGTTAGTGTCATCCAGTCCGAACGTGACACTCTCTGTGAGCGAGCGAATCGTCTTCAGACGGAACTGATGAGCGCTGCGGAGGAATTGGAGTTGGAGAGAAAAGCTCTAGCTGCAGTGAAGGAGGAGCTGACTTCCGTGAAAGCGATCCCTTCTCTGTCAGTTGGGAATGAAATGAAGCAGCGCAGTTCACCCAACGAGAACACCTCCCTACAGGCGGATTTGGAGGAGGCGCGACAGCAGGCGTGTAGAGCTGAAGCAGAGTTGGTTAACACACGACGACTACATGCCCAAGAGATGGGGGAGCTGTTGGATCAGCTACAGGCAGCCAAGACCTTTTCTCAGCTCTACAAGTCCAAATTGGCGGAGGCCGAGGCTGAAATGGAGTCACTCCGCTCACACCTCACTTCTGTTCAGGCCTCATGCAAAGAGTTAAAAGAGTGTAATTTTAGTCTCGAGTCAAAACTTGCTATGAGCGAAGTGGATTTGGATGGATTAAAAAAGAGCTACGATACCGATTTGAAGGAGGCTACTACACAGGTCACCCGATTGAAGGAGCGTGTCAGCATCCAGGCGAGCGAGATTAGCACAGTGACTGAGCAGAGGGAAGATCTGAGGCAGCGGTGCATGGCCTTAGAGGATAGTGTCTCCAATTTAACTGATCAGCTGCAGATTTTGCGCAAGGAGAATAACATCCAGCACATCAAACTTGAACAAACTGTCACCAAGTTGTATGAAGTCGCGTCAGTGGTACCAACAAGCGGTAAAAAGAAGAAGAGCACCGAGGCAGCGAGAGTGGCTAGCCTGGAGAAACAGCTACGGAACGCAGAGCACAGGCATCAAAAAGAAATAGCAGACCTACAGTCGACCTTAAATCGCCTAAAAACGGCAACGAGGAGAAGGCGAAGGCGATGGCAGAGCTGACGGAGTCGAATCGAATGCTTGAGCAGGAATTGGAGAGAATGGACGCCCAGATGAACACACTGTACGAGTGCTATGTTACCAAATCTGGCACTGGTGGAGATTTGTCCAGCAGTTCGTCTCTAACGGGCATGGTAGCGGAGCCGTCTTCACTATCTGCAGTCGGTGAGATCAGTCACTCGAGTGAGGACCTGTCAAATGATGACGAAGGCCAATTAATCACCCAACAGGTCCTGCCTCCAGCTATCGAAGGTGTCTGCGATTTTCCCGAGAAGATTAAAGGCAAAAAGAGGCTAGCGTGGATTCCCAGATTCGTGGTCATTTGCCCTTTTTCGGTGTCATTCTTCACTTCCAAACCCCAACGTGGTTCGGTGCCATGCGAAGAAATTCAAATTCAGAAGGTACTGGATTTTTTACTTATTCTATTTAAGTAAGCAAGTGTGAGCCTTTTTATACCTTAGCTTGAGATGAAACCGTTAATACGCGCCTGCAGAAAAAATGGCATGAGAGAACTCAGGTCACCAGCTTGTAGGCAGGACGGCGTATCGCCAAATATGCATATTCTATTACTTTGTATTTTCACTTCCTACTTAGATATTTTCCGTGCGGCCAGGAACCGTGCTTGATCTTACCTATGCCACAGAAGACGACGCCTCTCGCCTAATTTGCATAATCTCAGACAAGATAACTTCAGATTTCAACACAAATGATCCCGATCTAATGAGCATAGCTAGTACAAGTTCGGTCTCGGGAGGCAGCGGCAACGCCACTGGCAACATCTCCTGGCAAGGTCATTCATTCCAACCAATAACCTTCCGTATAACGAACACCATCTGCGAGGTCTGCCGACGCCCATGTTCAGACCTCCGTTCCCCTCCACCGGCGCTTGAGTGCATCCGCTGTAGAATGCGCATCCATCGAAACCACGTGGAGAATCATGAGAAGTTTGTTGTCTGTCCAAACACTGTGAAACAGTGGATCATTCGAGCACCTTCTCCAGCCGATCGTAACGCCTGGATCTCGTGCATTAACCAGCTCAAGAAAGAGGCCGGTCCGTTGATATGCTCAGAGTCTCTACATTCACCCGGATGCCTCAGCAGAAGCAGCCAACCCGGCGCACCACTATTGGGAGCTAACACGACTCGCTACAGGAGTATGCGCAATTGCGGGGGACGCAGTTTGAAAGATGCAGTTTTAAAAAGGTCATTCATGGTTACCTTTCCTCGACACAACAGCAGCTCTGGTGTGACTGGAAGTGTTGCCACGAGGGCCATCCTTCAGTCACCGCCTGCCTCAGCCTCACAACACTCACCTGCAAATTTTGACGGCCAGCATGATTTGTAACCGACTGCTCACATAAATTTAGATACTCACACATGCACACACCCGTCCCCATACGGAATCGCTTATGCTAGAGATGGCGGCGACTCGTCTTTCATTCCAACTCCTGCGGCACTGTACAGACTTGCAGCCGAAAAGCGAGGAGCATACCCGTACACCAGTAACCATCCCCTCCCAGTGCACCTAAGCCCATGCTTTCTTGCTGCAAAGACAGATTTAAAGTTATTTTCGCACTAGGAACTTTGCTCCACGAGGCCTTCGCAGAATGACGACGCAGTCACAAGCTGCACCAATGCTCCCCTCCCATTTGCGTTGCCGAAATGTTTCATCAGCCTCTGATGCCCGGATTACCCGTATAAAGTATTTATCTCCGTTTTTATTTGCTTTGAAAAATAAGTCGGGGATCAGTGAAAATGACTTTCATTTAAACAATGTAGCAAACCAGTATCAGATTCATGCAACCGATTTTAGCCGACTAATAACGTTCTCCAGTTGCCCTTTGTCGAATATGGTAATGCCGCCTCTGGTCACAGACGCCATCTAAAACGAGACAACAATCTACAGTAGATAGTGAATAAGCCGCCTCTGTTAGTCCGGACTATCGACGTGTGGGAACGAAGACACTAGAGGCGTGAACGCTTAGCATTGGGAGTCTAAGCCATCTGCTGGATAGAGAAAAGAAGGCTTGCCTCAACATTGGTTGCGTCCAATTTTTCCTCCATAACCTGTCTAAGGATGGTGAGGGCCTGTACACACGCCTCTTCGAGCGTTATGTCCCTGTTGAAGACCTCCTGGAGAGCTTGCTGTGCTCCCTCGGAGCCGGACCCAATGGCCTTTGCTTCGTACTGGATGTACGTACCACTGGGATCCATGTGGAACCTGCGCATCAACAGATAACTTTTCAACATGACTGTGTACGAGACCAACTACAGATATTCAATAAGAAATACTAATTTGCGATGCTAGAAAGCGAACCAATTTTCGTAATTTTGATTTCAAAAGTGAATTAAAACTAGAAAAAGTAATGAGGACTGAGTCATGTAATGAGTCTGGATCACTGCCACTACTAATGCGTGCTTTCACAAGAAATGAGTAAAACAATTAAACGACTCACAATGTGCACGAAAAAAGTCTTCCCATTTAAGAACCAAGAAAATAAAGAGGAATAATTTACTCAAAACAAAAATAGACCACTCACAGTTGTGGTCCGATTTCATCATAACCGGCAAACATAAGAGCAACACCAAAGGGCCGACTCATGGCTCCCGCATCGGCATCGTCGTCGCCGAAAGCAAGAGCGAGTTTACTCACAGCCTGGGTAACATCCTCAGTTGTCATTTCGCTGTTGTACACAAACCAGTGATGAGCGGCTTCAACACGAGCCCGGTCGATAAGGGTTCTCGCATCGGCAACAAGACCGCTGACGGCACAAGCTGATAAAAAACATCAGAACAAATAAACCGATGCTATGACGGAAGAATATAGACGCGCAAATGGAACTAAATGCCTCGAAACTAATAATGCTAGAATGAACCAGAACTCACCAAAACGGAAAATAATGACCGACTCATTACAGGTGTGGGACACATACTCAGTTAGTGGTTAAAACAATCAGACCGCTTCGGAAAGCGGAATATCAATCTGACAAGAAAGAGAATATCATAGATATCTCATATGTCTACTACAACATACCAATCCTGTCAGAAATTTTGAATATCTTCTCCACACTATTGGTCACAATGAGAGGAGAATTAATTCTCTTTTCAACAGCTAGTATAACCCCATCTTTTGTTTTGATACCAATGCCGGTAGATCCCAACTAACAAGTAATGGTGCAAAAAAGTGGCGTTACCTTAGTAGCTTCGATAGCATATTCTACTTGGAAGAGTCTTCCATCTGGAGAAAACGTGTTCACGCCTCTATCATATTCAGTTTTGTTAAGAACATTCGGAGAAATGATGATTGAGCAGAATCTTGAGGGCCGCTCTAGAGGAATAGATTATTAAAACACCAAAAAAATTCTATGAAAATAAACATTTTTAATACTATAATTAGAAAAAAATTCACAAAAGCACCTTCTTATTTAAATTATGGTAGTATTCACTGACAGTTTTCAATCTTCCTTTAGAGTGAGGTTTACGGGGCTTTGGAAGGATGTAAACCATTTAATTTATAAAACCATTTTATGACAGTGGCGTTTTTTAATAAAATAAAACGCAAAATTGACACTTAAACAAATATTTTTGCATTATTTTGTGAATTCGGTAAGCCCTAAATCATCATTTTTAGCCGCAATAATATTGACCGCGATTTGTGCTTTTATGGCATCTTGGGAGCGACAAACAATTTTAAGCAGAATTGGTTATTTTAAGGGCAATAAATTGGGTCTCCCTATCAAGCGCCCCGCCATTTTTGGAAATGAGCTTCAATCTGGCTGAATTAATTTTACATAATATTTTCTGAAATAAGCCGGCTCTTTTTTTGGAAAGGCTAAATAGCTCCAAGTTCATGTTTCTTCATGAGAGCTTAGAATATGCTTGTAAGCCATTGACACTGTTAAAGAAGATTACTAGAATTACTTCACCAATAATGCCATTCGTGTGAAATTTTCAGTCAAAGTAGGAGTTCTGAAAGCTTTGTGAGGAGCCATTTTGTGGCTGATCTGGTCCATAGTAGGAAATGTTTCCCAGTAATGGACAGTCGATTCTCCCCATTGTATAATCATAGTAAAGGTTTATCTCCGTCGGCGCACATTTTGGTCCTCCGGTGAAGTTGAATTCCGACAACTTTTGCTGACACTTGATTAGTGACTCAGTGTACTTGCTGGCTTCGGTGAAAACAACAATAGCCTTAGTTGCTAAATGAGGCACTTTCATGCGGATCAGCTCACGTAGCATGTGACCTGTGTGGTCCTGAGTGATCAACGCTTCGAAAGTGGTTGGCATATCCAAGGGCTCATAAGTGGGTACCTTGAACGTAGCCATCAGCCATTGGTCAGGTCGCTCTAAATCTAGTACATTTGGATCATCATCTTGGACATATTTATTGGCTAGTGCTTTCCATATCCCCTCATACAGTTTAGCATATTCAATTTGTCCAGTCTTCTCAGGATCAATCATTCTACAGATTATGTGCTCCTCCGGTGCAGTAAACGGTGCCCGTAAGTTACGGAAGGCGAGTTTGAATTCGGTCTCAGAGATTACATCTTCTCCATACAGAGACATGAATTTTAGGTAGCGTTTCTCATTCTTGTTGTACCAATCATCAACACGATCGACAAAGTTTTGAAAGTCAGTGATTTGCTCCATATAGAGAGCCATCTCTTTGTCAAATTGGCGCGCATCTTTGCGTGTGAGTTTTTCAAGTTTATTTAGATATTTTCGTGACTTTGGTGGCATCTCTGCACCGTGGTGATACCACGTGTCCCCGATCCATTTCCATCGATCTAGAAGCCTCGGCCATAAATGGGTTATTTTGACCCCGAATGACAGATAAGTGAAAGTTATTGGTATGGTTAACTCTTCTGATTTTGGGGTTACTATTATCATAGAAATTTGTCCTGGTAAAGGTAGGTATTGGCTTTTCTTGTGTGATTTTGTGCAGCAGAATACATTCAGATACTCGACTAATTCTCGATTTTGCGTTGCTTCGAGTGGTTAAAATGTTGAGTCAGTTGTCGCCCAAAGTCTCGTTCGTGTGACTACGAAATGAGAAATGATTTGCAGGGGACAAATCTTATAACTCCATAATTTTATTTAATGATGAAGAAGTGATCAGGAAAAGTAATTCTGTTAATTGGTACAAAACCTGTCCTCCCAACCACATTATGTATTCAAGACACATTTGGCACGCCGCATCAATAGCGAGTAGTTGGATGACCGAGAAACTGTTGCCTCTTTGTAGCGACAAATGTACAGACTACACTTGGTGAAGCACAAAACTAAATGTTAGCAACTTTCCACGCTAGATTAAGTTGTGGGATCCAGCGATGTATTTATTTCTTAAATCAACCAATGAAGTGACAATACTTGACCCACTGAAAGTAAAAATTTAGTAGCGAAACCGATTTAGCGTCAAAAGCATATCACGGAACGTGGTTCCTGCCGCCACGTAGTAATCCAGCAATAACGACGTAGATGTTTTAATAGAGTTCGAAGCTGAAACTTGCTCAAACAAATTTTCTAACGTTAACCATAATGTAGCAAATCGCAAGGAATAACGCGCACGAGAGAATAGCAGTCTTTTGGTGGACTAACCTTTGAGATTTTCTTGATTGCACCATCAACCAGATGAGCTTAAATTTTTTAAAAAGTGTTGAATGAAATAAAGTGGGGAGAACTGTAATACGATAGTGGTCTATCCCTCGGCGCTGGTGAGGCACCACTTTTTCGCTGGGTGGGCTGGCTTTTTGGGCTATGCCAATAGCCCAGACACCTTCTCCGTGCTGAATATATGTATTCTGTCCGAGTATTGTATCTTCTTTCGTCTTCAGGGAGTCTCGGGACGCTACATTGGTGGCAGCGGAAAGCGAACCCGATCTTAGAGGACATGTATCCTGATATTTCACTTCTGCGTGATAAGTCTTAGTGGGGCGG